TCTCAAGATGGTTTATATAACAAAAATGATTGCCTGCATTAATTCACCCTAGCCATATTTGTATTTTATAATGCAAATTAAACGTCAATAAATGCATCATTAATCTGTAATCTTGGTAACGCAGAATGAATTGTATAATATAAATGGCAGCAATATTAGTATACAGGCACGGACATAGTAAACATGTTATAAAATTTTGCAGTCAGTAATAAAGGACTAAAGAAACATCATCGTCCAAAAAAATGGAAAATTGACAATAGGGAACTACAATCGTTTCTTTTGTCGTTTTATCTTGAATACAGTTTCCCATGTGAAACTGCAATTTATGAATCTAGAAAAGGACAGTTATTGCTGTCTGCATTAGATTTGTTTAAAGTTAAGTTCCCTTGGGTAAAAGTTCCCCAGTAAAATGAGAAAACTTTTGATTATTTAAAACCAGGTAACGGTAAGTGTTGTTAAATTTATAAATTCAATGTTATAAAGATGGATCTTTATTGAGTTTTGCCATAGACTGTGATACAATTAAGAGTCGCAATGTGTGCAAATAGGAATGCCGGCAACCTGTCTTTAAACTTTATTGCCAAAACGACTTACACAAACTATTCTGATTGTCAACTGTTTTTATCACGAAAACTACAATATGTCGTATGTAATTCAAAATATAAATTTTTCTTTAATGTTCTATTGTCCAAATTGTCATTTTACTCAATTCGAGTTTGCTATTGATATTTTATATCAAACAAAATTAGAACAACAAGACATTAAATGGTAGGATCACGACACTGATCTCCATTAAAAATGTATCACTACAAGGTAAATAATTCTGTAGACATTTGAGCGCTCTGTTTGCATGATATAGCACATTTCGAATTGATTTTTTTTAATACTAAATGTTAATTACATTATTTCCATCACATGTCTTTTCTTTTGATAGATTGTCATATCAAGCGCCGGAGAAATTAGCCAGAAACCTCCTATGCAGACAGCAGCAACACCAATATTTATAGGTTGTACTGATATAATTTTTTTTCTTGCAATAGTCATATTTTACTTTTTAATGTTCATGTAGTAAATGAGAAGGAAAAAATATAAGTACTAATTTTGGGCAAAGTTTATATTATATTGATTAATAAAATATAATCATCCATATCATAATATGCTACCAAGCAACAGGGGGATAACTACTTTTACAAATATGTCAGTCTTTCATTCATATAAAATCAAAAACTGTATATATGATTGCATCCTTAATCTAATGTATGGTCATATATATTGAGAAATAAATCCCTATACATTTTGAGATCACAATATGATGGTTAAGGTCTGGTTACTAAAAAATAGACTAAAAAATTAGTGATCTAAGATTGTATTATTATTGTGTATATTCTAACTAATTTGATTCGTTTAGAAAGAGTCACATGTTCAACTATATATTCAAAGGTAGACTGAAAACAGCAGATAGAAAACTGATATTTTTAGAAAAGTGATATTGCACGGTTATTCTAAAAAAAAAGTGATATTGCACGGTTATCTATAGGAAAGTGATATTGCATGGTTGTGCTCTACTTCTGGCTTATTGGCAATTATAATATAACAATTGTAGCCTTTGTATGAGGTCGATACGAGGATATATCGACCTTGAGAAGTATATCGAGCACTGACTTCGTCCTCAGTCAATATACTTTTTTCAGGTCGAGATATCCTCGCACCGACCTCATACAAAGGCTATAATCATGGTAATTGTATAATGTAAACTTTTTTCATGTAGATGAAATAGTTCCACCTGAAATCAAGTTAATGTCAGATAAAAAATCTGTTCCATTGTACCTCAAATTACTAGAGTCAGGCTCAGAGAAAAAGAGAGACATCCGGTTGGTCATTGTTGGGGAGAAAGGTGTAGGCAAAACGTCCCTCATAAAAAGATTGTTTGGAGAAGAGATAGGAGGGGTGACAAGCACAAATGGAATTGAAATCCATAGAATTAAATGTAATGCAGAATCTAATGATGGCATATGGAATAAATTAAAAGGTAAGATTTTGTTTACACAGCAGTTTATTTTATTTCTAAAATAAAAGTTTAGAATTTGAAAATCCATCCTGTTTTTAATGAAAGCTAATTTCACAAAATGAAATTAATTCGCAGGTCAGGTTTAATCTTGTATAAAAAAGAAGCTCAAGTAAAGATTCAGTTTCTATATTTCACTTTCACACTATTGTAATTAAATGAGCTAACGGGGCATTAGCTACCAAATTCAGGCCCACTGAATTTATTCAAGCCCTCAAATTTTATCAAATATGCCCTAATTTTTAGGGGGAGGATTTGGCAAAAGCAAACATGTTTAACCCCGCCACATTCTTTATTGGCGTGTCCTTAGTCATTCAGTGGTTGTCGTTTGTTGTTTTATTTCATATTTGTTTACTGTTTTGTACTTAAATCAGGCCGTTAGTGTTCTCGTTTGATTTGTTGCACATTTGTCATTTTGGGGCCTTTTATAGCTTGCTATGCGGTTTGGGTTTTTTCCATTCTTGAAGGCCGTACGATGACCGATAGTTGTAAACTTCATTCTCATGTCGTGTCATTTTGGTCTCTGGTGGAGAGTTGTCTCATTGGCAATAGTACCACATGTTCTTATTTTTATATTAAGCGTAATTCAGAACTACAAAAATTCCCCAGAAAACAATATCTGATGTCTGGGATTGTTTAAAAGTATCGATATTTCCTGTGTATTTCTTACGGGTCGGCAACTAATTAACTATCATTAAGGAAATCATTATAGAAAATACAAGTCCTGGAATATCGTATCAATTGGGAGATATATACTCCGTATGCAGGGGCTGCTGGTATGTTTCTACATAGAAATGGAAAGTTCACAATTGGGAATCTGATATCATCTCTCTTGTCGTAAAATTTTGTTTTCAACCGACCCTCATTGTCATTTTCTCTCCTAGTTTTACTTTTTCAGTTGACATTCGTTTCAATCCCTTAAAATGCAAAGCACATGCTCAACAAATTAAATGTTATTCTATGGTAGTTTAAATACAGAATCAAATGGGATTGATTTATTGACGTGCAAGTCAATAAAACACCAGCAATTTATGTATGTATGACTGTGCTGGTAGATTCCTCTGTTATTCGAAGCACCCATCGAGAGCTGCGATTGAACAATTAAATCCGTGTAATCTCCCTTGGGAATAATTGAGATGCATTTTCAAAAATATTTTTACATGGATAATTCCCACCCAAACACAATGGGAGTGCTAGGACACTGGGAAGTCTGCTTTCATGGTGGAGGCACTCTTAGAACAGACAAACCGAAAAGATATCAGCAGATTAATCTCCTTGTCAAAGTCGGGGGAAACTTTGACCAACCGAGGCCCAAAGGTCCCATTCTAGTTTAAACTCCGGTCTAGGTACCAGAGAAGATGAAAATCACAGATTAACAGATTAAGATTGGACCGATCCAACTTCTTATTCCAAATAATTTTTACAATATTCCGCTGTTATAAATGATTGAAAAAATATATGTATTATGTTTTAGTCTAGTTTGTAGCTCATGCCCCTTTAAACGCAGACGTAGAGTAAAAACATGATCTAGTTACAAGTTTTTGAATTAGAATTGAAAATACTGTTCTTTTAGCTCTAAATCTTCAGCTGATTTTGCTGACCTGCGCCACATGGGCTTTTGCCATCTCTTGCGTCTGGCAATTATGTCTTTGTTGTTTACCATGCCTTTTTCACCAGCCCAGTAGTCAGCACTTCTGTGTTGACATGAATTATCATTGAGATGGTCATAATTATAAGTCAACTGTTTACAAAACTTTGAATTTTTCGAAATACTAAGGCTTTTTACCTCAGGAATAGATTTCCTTAGCTGTATTTGGCAAAACATTTAGGAATTTTGGGTCCTCAACGCTCTTCAACTTCGTACTTTATTTGGCATTATTTTTACTTTTTTTGATTCGAGCGTCACTGATGTGTCTTTTGTAGACGAAACGCGCGCCTGGCGTACAAAATTTCAATCCTGATATCTATGATGAGTTTATTTGATTTGAAATTCAAAATGATAGCAATCAATTTTCTAAATTAAGGGAAAATAAGTTACAACTCAGACAAATTTTTTTTTAAAAAACTAAGATTTATAAAAGCTGAAATATTTTGAAAATATTCAAAACAAAGCCCTAAAACATTGCTGATGTATTATTATCTTTCAAGTAAATAATTCAGTATAATTTTAATTTGTATTCATGGGCCCATTGATTTGACCTTTGTTATGAATAGGTAGCGCATGAGCTTAACATGTTTAGTGTTTGAAAAGAATGTCAAATGAATAAAATTACATAAGGGAAAGGAGAAGCAGGAAGAATGATTTTGTCGATTGATTTTACGCAAAAAAAATCAGTATTCAATTATATAATTTTATCTATGAAATGAGATCCAAAAGAACAAAAACAATCGAGCTTATACGATTGCACATGCTTAACTCTATAGTTGTATTTTAAAATGACCTGTCTGTATTATATTTATAACGGGGTCATTGCGCTTTCATGGTAGCATGACTACCTTAGGTGCTGGAGTTTGTGGGTTTAATCCTCAGCAGGGGGTAAACCAAAGACTTGAACATTTTTATTTACCTCTGCTTAGCACACAGCATTTGGAGTAAAAGCAAAGACTGGTTGTCTTGGAGTCAGAATGAATTCGATTTAAAGTTAATAAGCTGACATTTCCTTACCATTTGTTGTTGTGGAAGATTAATTTCATTTGGTTCATTTATTCACAGCTTTTTCTTAGCCTGAAAAATAAATTTATTGACATATCATAGTGAAATTTTGTTTGATTTTTGAAAACCACGGTAGGCAAAAATGAAGAAGCTGAACTACATACAAGGCTGTTAAAACCCTTCGATAGAAGCATTAAGAGTCAGATCAAAGCAAACAGTAAAGCATTAGCAGAAGGAGCGGCCTGCAAAGTAAGTAGGGACAACAAAACAACCAGTTCCAATTCAACAAAGAACATGACAAAATCTACTAATTCAGCATTTCCGTCACTTGATGAGTTACAACCTACACAACCCATTGTATCTCATGAAAAGCAGCCTGAACATCCATTGGTGAAAGCACACAAGGAAGCTGATAAAATGTTTAAATCGTCACTTGATAAATTACAACCTACAAAAGCCATTGTATCTTATGAAAAGCAGCCTGAACATCCATTGGAGCAAGCACATAATGAAATTGAAAGAATGTTAAAATCTGAAGTTGACTTACATGACAAAGAAGAGTATGCCACCTTATTGTTGTGGGATTTTGCTGGAGACAAAGAATTTTACCACACACATCAAACATTTCTGTCGGCAGATGCAATTTATCTTGTAGTTACAAAACTGAACGAAGCTGACAACAAAGAGGCACAAGGTAATATTATAAAATACAAATTATAGAGCAAAGGATTGATGTTTTGCTTGAGGTTTTTTTATAGCTCTATATTAGGGAATTGTATATTTTTGTTTAAATCATATAAACAGTAGAAAAATTCTACTTGTATTGTAATCATCAATACTTGGAGTCATAACTCCTGTTGGAAAAATTTCATTTTAAGATCAAAATAACATTTATTATTTATCTTCTCTACATCAATCAGGACACAAAAGAGAAAGTATTACAATTAACGATAACGATAAATATTGCTGAACTTAATAGAAAATTAGTTTAAGATAATTTTTTATCCATTCATGCTGGATCATTGTGATCATACCGTATTTTGAAAAGGTACAGAGTTCTGAATTTATGACATATCATGAAACAATTCATGTGTTTTATGACTTGAGGAAAGTTTGTACACCATTTTGATCATCTACTGCCAACTTTTTACATGCCACTTGCCCTTAGATTAAGAAAAGATATTTTGAACAGCTACTTACGTTTAGATATACACTTGCATATAGTTACTTTGTAAATCATAATTGATAAAATGTAGATATTTACGAGTTTATGTGAAAAAGTAAGATATCAAATTTAAGCAGATGATTAGAATACAAAAGTATTTTATCAGTAATTCATGCTTGTGTAAGTAATGAAAAAATGAAAAACATTTGGTACGAGCTGCGTTTTGGTATTAAGTTGATTCCCACACTTTTTCTAATGCTTTTATTCCAATTCTTTTGTAAGGCATGTTAGAGTAATGATTTTGTAGCAGTTCATAGTTGTCATGATTAACAAACAATTACAATCACAGGTTTGAGTATTAAGTTGAATCACCGCCACTGTAATGCCAATCTCAATTGACCACAGTTAATATATCTTGTATAACATAATTGAATAGACAATTCATTACACAGCATAATACATGTTTGCACCTGTCCTAAGTCAGGAATCTGATCACAGTAGTTGTCGTCTGTTTATGTAGTTCATACGTGTTTCCCGATTCTCGTTTTTATATAGATTAGACCATTGGTTTTTCCGTTTGAATGGTTTTACACAAGTATTTTTTTGGTGCCCTTCATAGCTTGCTGTTCGGTGTGAGCCAATGCTCCGTGTTGAAGGCCGTACCTTGACCTATACTGGTTTACTTTTATAAATTGTAACTTGGATGGAGAGTTGTCTCATTGGCACTCATACCACATCTTCCTATATCTCTTGACCTTAAAAGTATACATATAATTACTTTTGATCTATACTACATTAATTATTCTTGAAATTAAGTGTCAACGATGCCAAATTATATAATATGATAGAAAAATATTGCAAAGCAAATAGATTCGTGTTTACAATCTGTAGTTATTCTAATCTTGATACCTACTATCTGATTGTTTTGATTTGAGCGTCCAATCACTGGTGAAAATCATAAAGCATCAGTGACAGTACAGGAAAATTTATGTTGGAAATCAAATCAGAACTAGACCAAAATAGAAATAGAGAGACAGAAATCAAAAGTAAATGAAAGACGACCAATACAATTACCGATTATAAGAATATGCACGAAAACACAAAGAGCAGTCCAAAAAAATAATGACAAATACTAAATATTGACCCAAACAAATACAATATCCACTTGGAATCTACTGCATTACTAACAGCTTAAATGGTGTGTCTAATATGTTGTTACAATTGTCTTTTGTGAACAATGAGTAAAGGAGAATATGATTGTGGCTATGACAAGTAGAATATATCTTTAATCCTCTATGACAGATCTAGAGATAATCTATGAAAAAAAATGAAAATAATAGTTTTAATAATTTTATGCGTCGAAAGTGCTTTTCTTGATTTACCTTGATCAGGGACGCTCAGTGCCAAATAGCTGCAAGACAAGAATGTATAAGTATCGAAACACGTTAAGTGCTATTTTGACCAAAAAGGACATAAAATCATAGCCAAATCCATCTAAGGTCAACTTTAGCTGAGGGAGTTGACACCTAATTTTCTTTTTAATTTTAAATTCATAAACGGACAATTTACGAAATTCAACAAAATAATTCCACTTAAAAGTCTATGCATGTATTTTGGTTTTCAAACTTCTGATCTGGAGTATACCCGATGAAAATAATCATATTAAAAATTAATTGTTTACCAAATTTTGAATTTTTCGAAATACTAAGACTTTTATACCCCAGGAATATGTTACCTTAGCTGTATTTGGCAAAACCTTTCGGATATTTTGGTCCTCAATGCTCTTCAACTTCGTTCTTTATTTGGCCTTTTCAACTTTTTTATTCAAGCGTCTATGATGAGTCTTTTGTAGACGAAACGCGCGTTTGGCGTAAAAAGTTTAATCCTGGTATCTATGATGAGTTTATTATATAAGAATATTTTTTATTTGCACGGGAATCTTCAGCCTGACTTGATATATGTAAACAAGTTTAGGTTTAAACCATTTTTATGTCCACACAAACCTCCACTCTTTGCCTATATTAACCATAGTTCATAAGAAGAAATCACACAATATACCTATACAACAAAATGATCACTTACTTCAACCAGAAAAAAAACTATTTCCGTTCATTGTCATTGACACAATCGAACAAGCAAGTCTATAACATAAACTGTAAGTAAAGTAAAATTACTGATGTACAATGCACAAGCTTGTCATTATGTTTAGGGATGTTTCGATTATGGATGGACTCGATCCACTGCTACTGTAAATTAGAAAATCAGAACACCAAAAGTGGTAGTAATACTGATGTAGTTAAAGATCTAACAGATCAACGCCTTGATCCACCAGTTATTCTAGTTGGTACATACAAAGATCAGATTGAGATTACTGAGGGAGAAGAGGTACTTATTTTATATTAACTTAAACTTAGGAATATACATTTGTTTTTGGTGTTCAAATGAGGAGAAACATTATGATAAAAAAATCCTGTATAAAAAAGAGGAATATAACAAAAGATTTGGACGTCAATTTAATCTTTGTAGAAGTTATGTCGTAATGATCAGACTCGTAACATTTTTATGGGGTTCTGAATAAATATGATGAATGATAATAATCTGTTCACTGCAATCTCATCATTGGATTGATTCTGACCACTGAGAATTATTAGTGTTGCATATATATATTTCGACATACTTTATAAACCTTTTATTATTTTGACTAACGTCGCTGTAAAAGCGTGTAAGTGCTAATTGTTACTAGATTAATTAGCAACTTTGTTTTTCACCAGCCTTTTGTCCAATAAACATTGAGACAAATATCCCCTTAAAAGATGTAATATTTATGTCACTGATGACAGTAGATATGTTCCACTTGTTGTTACCATATATCCGTCCCCTTTTCTTGATTGTGACATTATCAAAAGCGATTTTACTTACTCCAACATCATGACCGGTTCGTTATGTGGAGCTGGAACTGTTTATTTCCTGGAGCACGGGATGTCACTCTTAGTATTTGTTGGGTTTCATGTTGCTCAATGTTTACCAGTCAATGAAATGTGTTTATTATTGTTTATCTTTTTGTAGTTTACTTTTTGCAATAGTATTATCTGTTTTATTGAACTTATGATTTTAAATTTGCCCCTTGGTATCTTTCTTTCTTTTTTCAAAGACTTAAGGAAAAGACCTTTATGATTTTTGTCATCAATAAAATGATAATATTAGCGTATGTTCCAGACTTAATTGAAATTTGATTCCCATTGTAGATGCAGAATTCATGTATGGAACGACTTTGTATATACACTGCAGATGTTTCATTGGATGCATGTCAACATATAGTGGAAGAAGGCAAATACTGCATTTCAAATACAGAAGATGATACGACTGTATTCCAGCAAATACGAGAGTATATTTCAAAATTGGCAAGGACTATGCAATCATGGAATAGAGCTTATCCTTTAAAGTTTATTCATCTAGAAAAACGCCTTCAAGAGAAAAGACTAGAGTTGCCAATCATTTCGTTTCAGCAAATTCAGAATCTCTCTTCTGCTACATTAAATCCATTAAATGATGAAGAGCTTAATTTGTTTTTGAGATTTCACCATGAAATCAGAGCTTTAGTATATTTTGAGGATCTTCCTGATTATATAATTCTAGATACACAGTGGTTGTCGGATGTCTTTAAATGTATAGTGACAGCAGAGAAATTTCAATGGAAAGTGAGAAGCATAAAAAATAAGGATAAATGGGAAGACCTAAACCAAAGAGGAATTTTACATAGTGAAGTTTTGGAAGATATATTCAACAAACAACAATCGATTTTGTCCCAACATAAAGATTATATTCTGAATGTTATGGAAAAATTTGACATACTAATACGTCCAATAATATCAGTTGGAGATGTTACCGCTGAAAAATCCTGCTACTATGTACCTTGTATGGTGAAAGATAAACCTGAACGTGATATTTATGAGATGTTTAATGTGACAAAAGACACATGCAAGAAATCCACTTGGTTTTGTTTGAAGTTTAGCTTTCTTCCAACACACCTGATGAATCATTTGATTGCTTCACTATGTCGGGAATATGAAGTTTCCAAAGTTTCTGACACTATACAGAATAAAAAGCTTATTGCCCTTTTCAGCGGTACTGCCGTCTTTGACCTACAAAAGACAAGATTACAGAAATTACTTGTAACTATATGTCCAAATTTAATTCAGATTCAAGTTTTAGAATTTAAGACGAATGCAGTTATTAAAAGAGGTTCATACTCACACATTGCAGATTTTGTTGAGGGGGAGATTATCAAGATAATAAGTACTAGATTCAAGATGACAAATGTTACATTTGAGAAAAAGTGGGAATGTGGTAGTGTAAAGCCAGAGTTTGTGACAGGTTCAAATGACTTTACTGAAGAACAGAATACAGAATATTTCTGTGAGACATGTACAGCATCACACAAATTGATTGATGAGTGGTCAAAACACCAAGTAAGTGTAATTGAATTATTGAAGTGATACTGAAAATCAACTTTAGATTAATGTAACTTGACAGTGTTTTGACTGAGCTATTTCTTAAACCGGAAATTGAAGTATAAAAAATTAAAAGTAAAATCACAAAAATACCGAACGCCGCGGAAAATTCAAAACGCAAAGTCCCTAAGCAAATGGCAAAATCAAAAGCTCAAACACATAAAAAAGTATTGGAATACATTTCTTCAATATTGCCAATGTTAAATGTTTTCGTACAATTTTACATCAAAAGAAAATAATTCAGTGAATTTATATATGAAGTGAAGAGAATTTTATTGGTGTGCATTCCGGTTTAACGCCGACAACTACCGAACAAAGACAAATCAATGTTTTATTCACAAAAATTGCACCTGGTACCTAAAAATTTCCAATGTTAAAAGTCTAATGTCTAATGTCGGTATTTCACAAGCGTTCAACCTCATCAAATCGGAACAAAATGGTTTAAAAAAAAGAATCGACAGAGCGAAAATCCACACATCTGCTTAAACCTTCATATAGAAAATAACCACATCCTCTGGGATATTTGTTTGTTTGCTTTATGTTTCTTTCTTTCTTTTTCTTTCAATTATTGTCTTGTAAACTTCTTTTTTTTATGTGCATATTTCTTATTTTTCCAAGTCGTTTTTTAAAGTTGTTCCCCGAAAAAGGAAACAAATTAAATATTTTCTGTATTGAGGAACAAGTTTCATAATCTGAAAACAATATAAAAAAGAATGATTGCCAATGAGACAACTCTTCACCAGAGACCAAAATGACACAGAGATTAACAACTATAGGTCACCGTACGGCCTTCAACAATGAGCAAAGCCCATACCGCATAGTCAGCTATAAAAGGCCCCAAAATGACAAATGTAAAACAATTCAAACGAGAAAACTAACGGCCTAATTAATGTACAAAAAAATGAGCGAAAAACAAATATGAAACACAGCAACAAACGACAACCACTGAATTACAGGCTCCTGACTTGGGACAGGAACATACATACAAAATGTGGTGGGGTTAAACATGTAAGCGGGATCCCAATCCTCCCCTAACCTGGGACAGTGGTGTAACAGTACAACATAAGAACGAACTATAAAAATCAGTTGGAAAAGACTTAACTCATCAGATGGATACAAATAGAAATACATCTAACAAAAACACAGAGTGGACGTGGTCGGGTACTTGTAAATTTATTTTTCTTCTCGGAAAATCGAACTTTCAAATCGATTCTCATTCTAATTCATCTGGTGAAAGGAGAATAACTCACATAAAACGTTTCAACTTCGTGAAGATCGCAACTTGATAAACCGTTGATGGCATTATACTGGTGTGATTGTATGTGCGCATAAACAATAGAAGGGTTTGTCTGAAACTACCCGATAACAATTCTTTTTCAGTTATCCCAAAGTTTTGAAGAATCGAATTTTGACACAGCTGATATCAAGCCACAAGTTTTGTCGGCAAAGGTAACACAAAATTATTTTTACTTTTCAACACAAATAAATAATATTATTTTGGTTTTTTTTAAATGCAAATAAGTAATAACTAATAAACCTTCTGATAACTGTTGCAGGCAGTATATAGTAATGAAGTGAATCGATCCATTCGGTCATTTGATTGTCCTTCCGTCCAACATTTTGATTTTGGCTTCTTGTTCAACAAATGTGTCAATCAAGTCATGATTGTGTCCTACCCAATTTCAGACATACAATTTCCTCTACTTCTTCTTTGTTAGCCTCGAAGATTTCTGTTCCACTTTTTGTCTCGCCTTAACAAAGTCGAAGAATCGAGACTTATACAGGCTATTTTTGGCGGTGGCAGCGTCAACAGTGTATAAGTTTGGGATTAGCTATAGGTCAGCGAAACAAATATAAGCCTGGTATCTCTGATAAAATAAATATTTAACGGAGAAACCCCCATAGGTAGGTCAATGATCCATCTGTATTATCATTAGCAGGTCTCATTTCAACATTTTGGCTCCACCCGTCAGTCGTAGTCTATTGACTTTAAAACTTTTGCATAGCTTATATTTTAAAATTTATGATTAGGTCAGTTTGAGATGAAACCGTAACGGAAAGGCAATGATATTTGGTATGCAATTGTATTTCCTCTTGCACGTCTAATTTCCATGAAACTACTACCATTCATTTTAACATTTGCAACATACTATTGAAATTGCATAAAGTGAGTCATATCTCTTGTAAAAATTGTTTGTATGAAAAAATCAAAATTAGTTTTTAAATGTTTCTGTGAATTTTTTTCTGGTCAATATTAGAATGGGTATTTTTTTCCTAAAAGCTTCTTGTGTCAACCGATCGCTTACGTTTCATTGATTCCAAAAATATGGTTACTAGTGTATATCCCTTTTGAGATCAGGGAGAACATTGGCTTCTTCCAGGGTACTAATATGCAAAATCCGGTGTCAAGTGATAGCTTATATTACCTTAATTCGAAAAATATATGGTTTCTATATACTTTTGCTTGAAATTAGGGAGATAATTTGCTACTTTTGGTTTACAAATTTTAAAGACCACTTCTGGTTTCATTAATAAGGTTTCTTTACACTCATTTTAAGAATATATCGTTTCTAGGTACTTTTACGTGAAATTAATGCAAACAATGGCTATTTCCAGTTGACCTTTTTGAATGACATATGCCTTCTAACCTTATGCAAAAGACCTTATGTACTAGTATAAAGTTAGAGCAAATGTCAAAATCTAGAACGTCAAATTGATATTGACTTTGATCTTAAATTTAAGGTCAAAGGTCATGAATCTTCAATCAAAAGATTAAAGGTGACTAAAATATGAGTATGAAATTAGGGAGATAATTTGCTACTTTTGGTTTACAAATTTTAAAGACCACTTCTGGTTTCATTAATTAGGTTTCTTTACACTTATTTTAAGAATATATCGTTTCTAGGTACTTTTACGTGAAATTAATGCAAACAATGGCTATTTCCAGTTGACCTTTTTGAATGACATATGCCTTCCAACCTTATGCAAAAGACCTTATGTACTAGTATAAAGTTAGAGCAAATGTCAAAATCTAGAACGTCAAATTGATAGTGACTTTGATCTTAAATTTAAGGTCAAAGGTCACCAATCTTCAATCAAAAGATTAAAGGTGTCTAAAATATGAGTAGGAAAGAAGTTAATCTCTAAACAGGTTATTTGGAATATCCAAGAGGAGAAAACTGCTATTTAAAGTCACCAGAGAATGTATGGTCGTTGCGTCAAGTTACAACTTAAAATTGCAATTTGAAACAAACCTTATTTTTTTTGGGGGCCCTTTATAGCTTACTGTTCGGTGTGAGCCAAGGCTCCGTGTTGAAGACCGTACTGTGACCTATAATGGTTTACTTTTATAAATTTTTGACTTGGATGGAGAGTTGTCTCATTGGCACTCATACCACATCTTCTTATATCTACTTATGTTGATAACTTTTACGGTTTCTGAGGAGTTGCAATAACATGCAAAGTTCAAAATGTAGAACCTAACTTTGATATTAGCATCAATTTCCTGCTCATGAAACAATGACCTGCTATCAAATTACTCTAGGTATATATGACTTACAGTTTATGAATAACGCCAACAGATTACTAAAGTCAAACACAAAAAGGGAAATAGATCTCATTTCATGTATACCAGACTGCTTCGGCCAAAATTTAACAGATTTTCATGAGGAAGAGACAAAAAAATTGGAGAGAATTTTAAAGCGATATGTATCAGATTTCGTGGTTTTAGCTATACTAAGAACTATCAGTATATAGAGAGATAACTCCTATATGGAAAAGTGCTCGATGGAACAAATTTTCATTGTATCAGCTAAACAATGCTTCAAAAACCTTTTTCTGATTTAAACTTATTCAGTAACGCGCAAGCCCAAAAAGGATGAATAAATACTGAATACTGCTAGAGCTTTGTTCCCAAAATGGACCGCAGAAGAAAAGCTATCTTCTATGGTCAACTTGGCCTGAGGAAGTTGTATCTTTAATGTTTATCAACGATGAATTAAAAAAAAAACGATATGTTACAAATCATTCCTGTACCGCAGCAGTCTATCTGCAACAGTATTGACTGCTAGAAAATGAAAAAACACTATATAAATTTGTATTTTAACTACTTTTCTGCATTTGCAAAGCCATTTTGCAACTGCAGTGATCATAACATGATGTTTTTTTTTTATTTAAGCTTCGCTTTCACCCAGGAGACTTTAGTGCACTGTCAAAATTGTCTGAAGTTCAAACCAGAAAAACCAGTTCGGGAGTGGTATGTTATGCAACAACTGTGATGGTTGACTAAATCGTCAAATAATTTCATTTTATAATATCAATTAACTAGTTGAATCAAAAGTTGGCTGATTTGAAGGTTTATTCTTTTTTTTTATTTGCAGAATGTTGTTGCAATAGTCAAGTTGCTTTTGGCTAATCAAGTGGTGCTGAATATGTATTATGTTCCTGTTTCAAAACAAAAAATACAGTTAATTCAATAAATATATATAAAAGTTGCTTCTAAGGAATTTCTGAGGTGTTTTAATATTGATGCTTATGGGTCAGCCATTCTTGGTGCTAGTGGGGGTTCCATTTTAATTTGAAACTTATGAGAAATATATAAAAGCATCGTCTTTCAAACTGTTCAGTACATTTCAATCATATATCATTCGAAAATTAATTGCAGTTGGTAAACAGCTATTTTAAAAATCACATAAAATTGTGTTAAATGTATTGTATGTAATTTTTCGCACGTTATACTCCAGATATTCCGTTCAGTATTTGTTGTTTTTCCAGGTAAATATTTGGTGCTGATTTGAATGAAAAATTCAAATACAAGTGTGTGAAAAAAACTTAATTTACTTCAGTTGATATGTCTGGAAATTGTCTGAAAGAAGGAAAGACTACAAATCTGTTGTTTAGTCTTTTGTGATCAAATTTTTTTCAAATCAATTCACTATTGTATGACAGAGTGATTGCTTATATCTTGAATATAAAAGAACTACAAA